ATGGCAGAGATACTATAGATGAGAGAAATAATGGCAGACAGACAGAGATAGATGATAGATGGAAGATGTTGCAAGAGAGAGAGATGATAAACAACAAAAAAGATAGAGTGACACACGGTCCAGAGATTTTTAATCTGAATTTATTCTTTTAGTTTATACATTTTTCTAGAATATTTCACGCCGCTGATCAATTGGATTACAGTCCCTCCCAAAAACAACTCTCTCAACCCTTTCTTTTCTTTCTTTCTTTTTCTTTCTTTTTTCTTTTTGCTAACATGAACGCTGTTCTCTACATACAGGAACTCCCTAGGGAAAGGGAGTTGTGTATGAGACATTGCTTCTGTGGTGGGCTCTGCTGTGTTTTGTAGCCGCTTTAAAACGGGGGAGCCGATCTTCCGTTTTTGGTGTGCTCTGAATGCCGAGACGTTACCTAACTATCGCTTCCTTCATAACGTGGTGTGTCTAGATTTCAGGAAGCTATGTCAAAGATTGCTCACTTCATACACCTCTACATGGAATCGGGGGGCCCGAAAGTAGCTGGCATTCACATAATTGACACAACCGAACACAACAAAATGTAATTTCTGGGCAACCCATACTTCAAGGAGGAGGCATCTGCCAGGCATTGATAGTCCAGACTCTTTTGGGTTCTTGACATGTTTAGAAGAAAGAAGTCTCAAGTATTAAGCTTCCTCCAAGGTCCTTTCCAAGAAGAACTGAAAGTTTTGGGGCAAGGGACACCTGTTTAGGCAGAGGTACCTCCTCCAGGTCAGATCTGGAGATGTAGGCGTTGACTGGGACAGGTTTGTTTTGAAGTCCAACCTCCGAAAGAGACGTTGGGCAGCCAAGATACTGTTCGGACTTTGCAAATCAATGGTCCACGTTGGCCGCCATCCATTGAATGCATGCTTCTCTCAGCTGCCACAACATGTTTCTGTTAATGGTCACTGTTTTTATGTGTCCACATGAATTGTGTCTTTTGTGTCAGTGTGTCTTTGGCTAGGCTTCCTCCATTCCTTTTGATTTCTTCCTTATGATTTCTGTTTTTTTTGTTTTGTTTTGTTTTGTTTCGTTTTTTTTTGTCCTTTTCGTTTTCTCTTCGTTTGGTTGTGTGCTCATTACAGCTTTTTGGAACAATGCTGTATTTTAGTGATTTCTACTCCTTCTCCTCTATTTCCTTCTCCTTCTTCTCTCCCCTCCTTCTCCTTTTGCTTCTCCTTCTCTCCCTTCCATCCTTCTCCTCCTTCTCCTCTCCCTCCCATCCTTCTTTCTCCTCTCCCTCCCATTCTTCTCCTCCTTCTCTTTCTCCTTTCCCTCCCATCTTCTCCTCTTTCTCTTTCTTCTTCCTCCTCCTTCTCCTCCTTCCCCTCTTCCTCTCCTCCTCCCTTCCTCCCTCCCTCCCTTCTCCTCCTTTTCCTTCTTTCTCTCTCTCTCTTCCGTCTGGTTTTTGTTTGGGTTTTTAACCTCTCTCTTCCTTCCCACCTTCCTCCCCTCCCTTTCCCCACCCACCCACCCCAGACTATATATAAATATATCAATATCTATATAAAAAAAAATTCTTTTCTTCTTTTGTCATTCAATCAAATTCCAACCCAACCACCAAGAGCCAGTCAAATCCACCACAGTCCCGCGCTGAGCTAGGAAAAAAGTAATGACAGGAAAGTGGAGCACACAGTACCCCAGTCCGTAAGTTCAACCGTCAACTCAAAGTTGGAAGTGTGATATGATGGCACCATGTAACTCAGCTAAGAATTGGTTGCATGACCTGCCGTCAAGTTTCGTGGAGATGCTGTGATTGAAACATTATTTTCTTGGATGTCGTATCGGTTGAATAATTGGCCAGTCATGATCACTTGTGCCTTTCTTGACTCTGTGCTGCCACAATTTTTTCTTGCCGTGCTCATGTTTATTTATTTATTTATTTATTTTTGTCTTATTCTTCGTTTGTTTCCTTTTTAGTGCTTGCAGTGGTTTCTTTGTGGTTTTGAGTTTTCTCGTTCAGCAACTTTAACGCTTCTTTAGATATCACCTGGAATGGGGGAGAAGACAAATTTCTAATTATTTTTTTTTTTAGGGAAAGGGAAGAAATGGGATTGTTGTCTATGTTTTGAGTAATTTCCAACCAGTAAGGAAAAGGAGACGTGTGATTGGTATTTTTTTGCACCCTGAATACTTGTGTTTTCAATGAATTGGGGGCCTTTTTCAATTGAGTCTTCTCGTTCTCTTCCTTCCTTAAAATATATCCTTAAAATCCCTCTCCAAAAAAATAAAAAATAAAAAAAAATCAAGAGTTAATTGCAGTGCAAAAGAAAATAGCCACGTACCAAAGCAAGCTAGAAAAGAACTTCTTAAGTGCCTTATTATAAAAAAAAATAAATTCCAATTTTTAAGGTTTGGGTAGCACAAGAAGGCTTAAGAAATCCATTGCTTTGGGGAAAGGGGTGTGTGTGAGAATATTATTTGGGGTTAAAAAGATTTTTAAAAAACCCAAAACAATCCTGATTCTAAACTAAAAGGCCTCGTGCATTTTTGTTTTTAGTTACAACTGAAAAAGGATCCTGGATGAGTGTTTTTTCCTTTATATATATATATATATTTATATTTCCTTTAGTTTCTTCTATTCTTATAATTTTTGGTGTCGTAATTGTTACAACTGCTGTGTCCAGTTTGCTGTTTGTTCGATCAACAGTGTGGGGAGAAAAAACAACAACTTTGCCAGCATGGTTTGAGCTTAAAAGCATGACGTTTCTCTATCTAAAGGAAGCTTTTGCGGGGTTTTTTCGATCTTTCTTTTCTTAAAGTTTTCTTGATGTAATAAATCACCGAGTCTCTGAGAAGAGAAACCTGCTTGCCAGCAGGAGATAAGAACTAATCCCTCAACGATTAAGCATTCTCCTTAAATGTCAAATTGGAATCATGATTTTTTTTTTAAAAAAAATTCTTTTTATTCAAGAAACATTAGCCTTACATTTTTACGTTCGTTTTTATTGCACAGAGAGACAGGAACAGTGGTGGGATTCAGCCAGTTCGGGTGAATCGGTTGTTAAGTTGCTCCCTGGCCCCACCCCTCCCCACCCCTTCCAGGAGTCCCCACGTGCCCCATTTTGGCTCCCAGGTAAGTGCAGGGAGGCCTCCAAGGCCCAAAACGGGGCACGGGGGGGGGGGTGCAACGTGGCTCCCCCTCCCCCGGTGGCCCGTTTTTGTTCCCAGGAGGCTGCAGGGAGGCCTACTAGGCCCAAAACAGGACGTGGGGGAGGCACACACACACCCGCGGCCTGTTTTTGCTCCCAGGGGGATGCAGGAGGCCGAGTGCTGCCTGTCACATCCCCTGGCCACTCCCACCATGGCCACGCCCACCCAGCCAGTCATTACGGCAGAAAACCGGTTGTTAAATTATTTGAATCCCACCACTGGACAGGAAGTTTGTTCCAGGCGATTTTTACATTCCAAGCCTCCTGTTCAAAGTATTATTATTTTTTTCTGTGCTTTGCAAAAAGAAAACAATTTATCAGCAACTGGCCTTTTTGAGACAAGGCAAGGGAAGGACTCAAACTTAGATGAGGGAATAGAAGGGGAACTCATCAAATTTGCAGACGACACTAAACTGGCAGGAATAGCCAACACCCCAGAAGACAAGCTGAGGATCCAAAAAGATCCTGACAAACTTGAACAATGGGCCCCATTCAACAAAATGAATTTCAACGTGGAAAAAAGCAAAGTTATACATTTAGGCAGGAAAAATCAAAGGTATAAGTACAGATTAGGCGAGACCTGGTGCAAAACCAGTATCTGAGAGAGGGACCTTGGAGTCCTAGTGGACGATCCCTTAAACATGAGCCAGCCATGTGCGGCAGCAGCCAAAAAAGCTAATACAATCCTGGTTTGTATAAACAGAGGCATAGAATCAAGATTATGTGAAATATTAGCACCACTTTATAAAACCCTAGTAAGGCCACACCTGGAATGCTGCAACCAATTTTGGTCACCGTACTACAAAAAAGATGTTGAGACTTTGGAAAAAGTGCAGAGAAGAGCAACTAAGATGATCAAAGGCCTGGAGACTAAAACATATAAACAACACCTGCAGGATTTGGGTTTGGCTAGTCTAGAGAAAAGAAGAATGAGGGGTGACATGATAGCAGTATTCCAGTATTTGAGGGGCGGCCACAATGAAGAGGGGGTCAAATTATTCTACAAAGCATCAGAGGCAGTGATGGGTTCCAACCAGCGTTACTACCGGTTCTCTTCGTGCACACACTTTGCATTTTTCAGCCGAAGAGGTTGTAGAAAAAAATGCTTTTAAAAATTAAAAAAAGCCTCTGATGATCGCGCGGCTCAGCTGGGCATTGGGGGGGGCAAGGATTTTTGCTACCAGTTCTCCGAACCACCCGCCGCCATCGCTACCGGATCGGGTGATCCGGTCTGAACCGGGAGCATTTCACCCCTGACTAAGAAGCTAAACATCTAGAGATCTCATCTGAAGGGACTGGAGAAAAAGTTTACGCTACAAACTCTGAACAAATGTTAGGGTCCCAAAACAGACACAGAAGTTTAGGTAGCTTTCTTAATCTACTTCTCTTATTTGTGAAGCCAGAGACACCTTTGAGATGGGATGGCCAGATGTTCTTCACAGTTAGTAGTTAGTATCTGGGATACTCTTAGAAAATATTAATAAAATATCCTGAAGGGGAGATGTGTCTATCCAAGATAAAAAAAAAAACAAAGCGAAACACAACTAAATTTGCATATAGTTTCCATAATGGGAACAAGATTGTCTTGGAAATAGATGTTCTCCTAAATCTGTATGCGTGTTTTATTTTTCTTTATTGATTATAAGGTATGCTCTTTGGATCTTCTCTCCCCTTGTCAGTTTTCTCTATCTTTTATTCCTTTCTTTCAAACAAAACAAAACATCTGTATACATTCATATATGTATATATATATATATATATTGATTCATTTTGGTCCAGCTTGGAATGACATTTTTTCTCTCTTTTTAGGGCATCAGCTGAATGGGCCACCCTTAGAGAAATATATATAAATATAGATATATATATATAAATAAATATATATATATTAAATAAATATATATAGGAACGAGAACTGTGAGATTACACCTTTAAACATCTCAGTCAAGTGGAAAACTTCAGACTTTTAACGCTCTTTCTGGTTGTTTCGACTGGAAACTTTGCTTAGAGGAAAGTCACGTTCAGCTGGCTTTGAAGGACACATGGTGGACAACTAAAACTGTACCAACTATCCGATGAACGAATCAAGAACATTGGAGAAAAAAAAAGAAAGAAAAAGAAAGAAGAGAAGAGAAATCACGGCAGGAGCAAGATTGACTTGGATTTCTACCGTGAACTTGATCTAAACCATCATAGCTTTTCCCCGATTCGGAAATGCTAAAAGTGTGCCTGTGGCCATCACGGATGGGGTTGCTATGGTCGCCCATGGCAACCGTCACTAAGCATTCTTTATCTGTCATTCCTTAGCTACATAGGGACCAAAGGACATAACTTTTTACCGCAAACTTGTAGTTGTATGTAAATTACTCAGAAGATCTTTCCGTTTCTCTTAGCTGTTCCCGCTAAGACAGCTTTGGAGAGCAATTCTATGAAATAATGTATAAAAAAAACAAAACAAAAAAAACTAAAACTCAGCTTCGACGCTTTAAAAAAAAAGGCAAGATAATAGTTCTTTGATACTTTGGAAGGTCTTTGGATATACATTAATTAGAGTCTATGAAACTTTCATATGGTTTTCTTTATAATAGGGATGGACCAAGGGGGTTTGAAGGGGCAGGTACAGGGGAGAATTTTGTCGGAAGACGAAGAAGAGAAAAGAAAATATGGCTCCATATTTGGGTAAGGAGAAAGAAGAAGGGGAAAAAAAGTGTACCGTAGAACGATAGCTTGTTTATATTAAAAAAGGGGGGGCCCTACCTCCCCTACCAAAACCCCTAATAGTTGTACAGAATTAAAAAAAAAAGTTTAAATACCTATATAATGGGGCAGGGGGAAGATTAGATGACATAAAAAGCAAAAAAAAAAAAAAGCAAAAAAAATATATAGGCGTTAGCGTTAATGCTAAGAAAACATACAAAGATGTAGAAACTTTTTTGTAGCGTTTAGATTGATATCCGTTCCTGCTCTAATCAACTGCTGTTGGAAGCGGTTGTCTGATGGACAGGCAGGGCAGAGAAAGTGGCTTCATTTGGCAAGTTTTTGATTATAACCATCAAAAGTCGTACTAAGTCGTACCGAAATCGGTGGATAATTAACCACTCGAAAGTCTTGAACCAACCGATAACTCAGCAGCTGTCAAGTCCAAAGTTTAGTTGAACTTGACGGAAGGCAAATCAAAGGTTGGACATTTTCCACGAAACGCATTGCCAAAAGCCACTGATTTAACTTTTTGCTTTGATAGCTTCCATATTTGTTCTAAATCCTTCAGGACGGGGGCAAGGAGGGGCGGGGAGGGTGCGGGATTTAGCCTAGAACCTTAATCTTAAAAAAAGAAAAACCTTTAAAAAAATCATAAAAGTATGGGAAAAAATACAGACACAAAAAAAAAATTACAAAAAAAATGCAATCTCTTTGAAGAATTTCTGAAACTGTTTACAAGGAATTTTGAAAAACGGGGATGTTTAAAAAAAAGATGCTGGCTCTGTTTTTCTGTAAATAAATTTGCATATTTTGTAGGACTTTTAATTGTAATGATAGAGAAAAAAAATCAAGGAAAAAACTATTTAAGGAAGCACGATATTTATCTTTGGTAAATGACTTTAGAGCAGTTAAAAAAAAGAAGTTGCTTTAAAATCTGAATCAGAAAAATAGAAACGATTATTTAAGAACACATATATTTTAAAGGATATCATATTTATTATAATTTATTTCCATGGGATTAAGATTTGATTTTAAGTGTGTAGTTTCTTTCCTCACTTCCCCTCCCTCACTCCTACCGTTTTATCAGATCAAACAAATAATTATTCATTATTCTTTCTGAATAATTGTTTTCCTTTGGGTTAGATTTGGGGGAAGTTTAAAAAAAAAATTTTTTTTTTCCTATTTTCATTTCCCCTCCATCTTGGATCTGATTTTGAAGTCTTTACACCAGGGGTCTCCAACCTTGGCAACTTTAAGACTTATGGACTTCAACTCCCAGAGTTCATCGGCCAGTTTTGCCGGTTGAGGAATTCTGGGAGTTGAAGTCCACAAGTCTTAAAGTTGCCAAGGTTGGAGACCGCTGCTTTACACTGGCTTAACACCCCCAAATCTTCTCCGGTGGTTTGGCTAGGAGTTGACAGCCACAGCAAGCCGGTATCTCGGTGTATAAAATGCCATGCAATTCCATAAAAGTGCTCTGAGTCTCAATTCCCTTAAAACTCCTTGTAATCTTATGTAATTAATGAATGACGCTTACCAGCTTAGCCCTAAATAAAGCACAGTTTAAAAAAAAAACATATTTTAATTTTTGGGGTGTGTTTTTTTTTTCTCCCGCTTTCTTTCAGTCTCTTAATGTACATGCTTCAAGAAAGAAGAGCATTTTCTTTCAACGGGGGTCATGAAGGTTTGCAGAACTAAAAATACCAACAGAAAAGAATTGTTGTCGCTGAGCATTAAAATGTGGGGTCCTTGATGCTCTCTGAGCTGGGTGGTTTTCCAGGAGACGTTTCATGACCCAACTAGGTAACTTCATCAGTGCTAGAAAGGGAGGGGGGTTTGGGAAGAGGGGGAGGGGAGGGGAGGGGGAGGGATTCTTGGTGGGCTCTGAGCTTGCTTTTTTCTTGCAGACATTTCATTACCCAACTAAGTAATATCAGTGCCAGAAGGAGTGAGATCACCCCAGTCAAAGATCTACAAACTCAGACAAACAATCAGTGAGCAATATACCGATACTCTAATCAAGGAACTACCAAGGACACTCTCATCAACCCTAGAAGAGCAAGCCATTCTGTTCTGTTCTGTTCTGTTCTGTTCTGTTCTGTTCTGTTCTGTTCTGTTCTATTTCTATTCTATTCTATTCTATTCTATTCTATTCTATTCTATTCTATTCTATTGATTCCATTCCATGTTTTCTTTTCTGTTCTGTTCTGTTCTGTTCTGTTCTGTTCTGTTCTGTTCTATTCTATTCTATTCTATTCTATTCTATTCTATTCTATTCTATTTCTATTCATTCTATTCCATTCCATTCCATTATGCTTTCTGTTCTGTTCTGTTCTGTTCTGTTCTGTTCTGTTCTGTTCTGTTCTGTTCTGTTCTGATTCCATTCCATTCCATTCCATTCCATTCCATTCCATTCCATTCCATGTTTTCTATTCTATTCTATTCTATTCTTTCTATTCTATTCTATTCTATTCTATTCTATTCTATTCTATTCTATTCTATTCTATTCTATTCCCTATTGTATTCCATTCCATTCCATGTTTTCTATTCTATTCTATTCCATTCCATTCTCCAAAGCACCTGAAGGTAGGTCAAGAAGCAATGGATGGAAATTAATCCAGAGGAGAAGCAACCTAGAACTAAGGAGAAATTTCCTAACAGAGAACAATTAATCAGTTGAACGACCTGACTCCTGAACTTCTGGGTGCTCCAACACTGGAGGTTTTTAAGAAGAGATTGGATGACCATTTGTCTGAAGTGGTGTAGGGTTTCCTGCTTGAGCAGGGGGTTGGACTAGAAGACCTCCAAGGTCCCTTCCTTTCAACTCAGTTTCCCTGTTCTGTTCCGTTCAGGAGGGATTTTTGCCCCCATTCTGCTATGAGGGGTTAAGATAATCTCCAACCTGCCATACTGTCCAATACTTGTAAAATGGGCTGAATTATCTTCATCCTGCAAAGTTGAGGTGCAATGAAACACTTGACAATGTATTACAAAACGTTGGTGAAACAAGCTTGAAAACATTAACACAACCAGCTAGAACAGCAGATACGCACAACCCCTATATTTGCCCACATCAATCTCCCTGAGAGAGGACAGCCATGTTTATCACACCTTGAAGGTGTTCATGGGAGTTGTAGTTCGGCAACATCCAGAGGGTCACGGAATATCTAGTCCTACTCCATCCTGCTCCAGCTGCCCCTGTTAAGGAATTCGCAGAGTAACCCTTGAGTAGCAAGGGTGTGCACATGAAAGTGATTGAGAGTAGTTACGAATAAACACAGCCAACATACAGATACACTGAGTTGTGTTTACTTTCAGGGAATAGTAAGGCACAGTCCAATAAACAGTCCAGGGCATACACATATAAAGCAGGAGATAGCAAAACGACAGTCCAGGGATAATCCAATAACAAAGTCTTCTTACCAGTCGTCGTAGTCATTCACAATAAACAGTTCTTCTGGATTTGCAAACAGTAGCATACAGAGATATCAGAGAGCAAGAACAACAGAGAGAAACAAACCATGTTTCTAGCTCCCTCTTAAGGAGATTGGCTACAGAACTAACCAATCAGGACACAGTATGATGCAATACAGCAGTCTTAAAGCTATATTGAGGGTTTATATATTGCCAATCCAACATGTTAGATAATAGTCATTTCCTAACAGCCCCCACCATGGATAACATGGCGTCTTCTAGATGAGATTGACTTCAATGTGCACAATCCCTTGCCTTCTTTATATACTATATTTATTATTTTGATTTATGAGTCTGGACGGTGAACAACAATCCAATTCATCAGCAACAAGGGTATCACACATATCCTGGTCCACAAGCCAAGGAAAAATAGACTCACTCGATTTTCCGCCCCAATGCCAACTTACAGAGAGCCAATGGATTCATGGCCATCAATCATCTTGGGAGAGATGCTGTTCTATAGGGGAGCAGCTCCCAAGTCTTTCTTAGTAGCCCACAACAGATGCCAGCGCTTAAGGAGATAAAGAACTTATTGAAAGAAGCCAAGTATCTAGATAGCTCTATTCATAAGCAAAGCAAATACTGCGGGAAGAAGCCCATTCAAGACAGGAAATTTTGAAATTTTGAAGCAAAGTCCGAACAAAGGCAGAATGGTAGGATTAGAAGCAGCCCCTCACCCAAGATCCAACACAGGATGAAAGCCATTAAGACACAATAGGAATTGCCCAACAGAGCAGTCCAAACTTCAAACCTGGGACCGCAGATCAACAACAAGCCAAAGATTGACCAGATTAGCTCAGACAAACACCTAGGGTTTGCATTTCCTCTTTTGCCTATAGTCAGCTATGACCCCTACATAACCCCTATATGACCCCATAGGAATCTGACAACAGCCAATAAAATACAGGTTCTCGCACAGGAACAGGAAGCTCAAGTGCAAAGTCCAAGAGAAGGTATATAAAAACCCCTCACTCTCAACTCCATTTTGTCAACTGCCCAGAATCACATGTGGTTCTGTTCATACATTTGGGTTCTAGATTTAGGCAAGAAAAACAAAATGCGCAGGTGCAGTATTTGTGGTACCTTGTTCAATAGTGGTGACTGTGAGAGGGATCTTGGAGTCCTAGTGGACAATCACTTAAATAGGAGCCAGCCGTGTGCAGCAGCTGCCAAAAAAAGCCAACACAGTTCTAGGCTGCATAAACAGAGGGAGAGAATCAAGCTCACGTGAAGTGTTAATACCACTTTATAAGGCCTTGGTAAGGCCACACTTGGAATCCTGCATTCAGTTTTGGTGGCCACGATGTAAAAAAAATGTGGAGACTCTGGAAAGAGTGCAGAGAAGAGCAACCAAGATGATTAGGGGACTGGAGGCTAAAACGTATGAAGAACGGTTGCAGGAACTGGGTGTGTCTAGTTTAATGAAAAGAAGGACTAGGGGAGACATGATAGCATTCTTCCAATATCTCAGGGGCTGCCCCAAAGAAGAGGGAGTCAAGCTATTCTCCAAAGCACCTGAGAGCAGGACAAGAAACAATGGGAAAGATTGTTAAGTGAACATTGTCCTTTTTTATGACCTTCCTTGCCACAGTTGTTAAGCAAAACAATGCCACTGTAAAATTAGTAACCCAGTTGTTGAGCAAATCCGGCTTTCCCTATTGACTTTGCTTGTCAGAAGGTCACAAAAGGGGGATCACGGGATGCCTCCCCCCCCATACACACAGGATACTGCAACTGTCGTAACTAAGAGTCAGCTGCCAAGTGTCCAAATTTTGACCATGTAACCATGCGGATGCTGCTAGATGTTGTAAGTGTGAAAAATAGTCGTAAGTCATTTTTTTTCCCGGTGCCGTTGTAACTTCAAACGGTCACTAAAAGAACTGTTGTAAGTTGAGGACTACCTGTGTGTTGGTAAGGTCTTGAATTGTCAAGCAGGGTGTATCAGCATTAGTCTTCATTTTATTTTTTTTCCCCCAACTCAGACGTTCCTACAAGGTTGTAGAGTATTTAGGAAAAGCTCAATATCTCAGGGGCTGCCCCAAAAAAGAGGGAGTCAAGCTATTCTCCAAAGCACCTGAGGGCAGGACAAGAAACAACGGATGGAAACTAATCAAGGAGAGAAGCAACTTAGAACTAAGGAGAAATTTCCTGACAGTTAGAACAATTAATCAGTGGAACAACTTGCCTCCAGAAGTTGTGAATGCTCCAACACTGGAAGCTTTTAAGAAGATGTTGGATAACCATTTGTCTGAAGTGGTGTAGGGTTTCCTGCCTAAGCAGGGGGTTGGACTAGAAGACCTCCAAGGTCCCTTCCAACTCTGTTATTCTACGATATCATCATTAAACCATCTTTCCAATCAGCCACCACGTTTCCAGTGTCTTACTCCCAGCTTGGAACTGAACCAGATGGATTTGCCTTCTGAAAGGAGGAAGCAGGTATGTCTAGTCTAACAAAGAGAAGGACTAGGGCTGGTACGATAACAGTCTTCCAGTAATTGAGCAGCTATCCAAGGGAAGAGAAGGTCGACCTGTTCTCCAAAGCACCTGAAGGCAGGACAGGAAGTAACGGATGGAAGATCATCAAAGAGAGATCCAATTTAGATGTCCCATCTAAATTGAGGTCCACCTCGAATTAAGGAGGCATTTCCTGACAGTGAGAACAATTACCGTATTTTTCAGAGTATATACAAAAGAGTCAGTGGTGGGATTCAAATAATTTAACAACCAGTTCTCTACCCTAACGACCAGCTGGGTAGGCGTGGCTCGGTAGTCATGTGACTATATAGGTGTGGCTAACTCAACATCACTGACGTCACTGGGTGCTTCACCTTAGCTGTTACAATGTAACAAGGGTTAACCAGAGAGGCAGTTTCTGTAAGCGAGGCAAGAAAGATTAGGCTAGAAACACCACCAGAATGTTTCCTTCCTGCCTTCCTTACAGGATTAGTCCTGTCAAGTGGAAAAAAAACAAAATAAGATTTCTTCCAACAACCGGTTCTCCGAACTGCTTAGAAAGTTAACAACCGGTTCTCCCCAATAGGTGCGAACTGGCTGAATCCCACCACTGAAAAGAGTCCCTTGGGCATTGGGCGGCATAAAAATGTG